GCATAAATTGATGTCAAATGTCTATCTTTTGGGAGACAAAAGCTCCGTGAGACAGTAACTTCCTGGAGATAGCCGCTGTAGTCACGCTACCTGGTCCCCAGGTATTCCTCACCTGGAGACTCAAAGACGAATGAGCAAACGGTCAGGATTGATTGGCTTTTGTGTAATCACAGATTCCTACAAAATGGAGTGTTTCTATCCCATTGTCAAATTGCCGGTGGAGGGTTACACTGATCTCATCACGATATTCACATGCCTTGTCTGGGTTTGGTTGCCTTGTTACTCATGTGAGAACATTCTAGGGTGTTTCTTTTTCTGAAATGGATGATGCATTTAGTAAATGTTATGGATAGAGGAGGTTTTAAGTGGGACTAAATGCAGCAATTAATGCTAACGAGTCTGCTGTTAGCATGTAATATTCTTGCCGTTATAAAATCACGCACCACTGAATGTGGAACCTCAGTTTGTTCAACAGATGCCGATCTTAATGGCCACATTCTTTTTCCCATGGATAAGGTAGCTTTAGTTAAATGTACCATTAAAAATAACCATTTAAAATGTTAATGGAAACTGTGACTGTAACCACCGGGAATTTTTATTTTAGCCGCTGCTTCATTATTCCATATTTTCAAAAGGTCCTTGAGAAGGTGAGGAGTGTGTTTTCCATGAGGTGCATCAAATCAGGAAGATGATAATGTCTTCGCAGCACACAGGCCTGCGCTATTAACTTTAACCCTGTTTGGAGGCTTGTTTTCCTTTGGTTTCTTCTCTTGTGCATTTGGGGTGTGAGACAGAATTGCTTAATTGGGATTCTTGGTTGTTCCGCTACTTGATAGTACCATTATTCTATCATCCATTGTGATTAAGGGAGAAAAATACCAAGACGTTGTTATATAGAACAAGAAATCTTCATTTGCTAGAACCAGAAGCCTGGCTTAGGCTTGAGTTTGCTCTGGGAAATGGAAGTTGTAAAACAAAGGATTGGTGTTCAGCAAGGACACAGCATCTTCCTGGGTTGTTTCAGTCATTATACTCAGGACACATTTTGAAAGCTATAGATTGTGGGTGCAGGGCAAGAGTGGTTAAAGTCTCCAGAACTCACCTGGCTTGATTAAGAGTCTCCAGGGGGCTGGAGAGATGGCTCAGGGTTTAGAGAGATGGCTCAGAGACTGGTAAGATGGCTCAGAAGTTCAGAGCCTGCTATTTCAAAGGACCTTGCTTCAATTCACAACACCCACAGGGCAGCTCACAACTGTCTGTAACTCCAGTTCTAGGGGATCTGACACCCTCACCCTCACACAGACGTACATGCAGGCAAAACATCAATGTACATAAAAATAAAAAGGAACAAGAGAGGTGGGGCGGGGAGAGGGATAGGGATCCAGACACCACTGTAGCTGCCTGGGTCTATGGAACGGTGAAGTGGTGAAAGTTGCTAGAGACTGAATGGATGCAGAATGTATCTCTGAGGCAGTCTTTCTTCCCCTCTCCTTCCCCCTCCTTCCTTCCCTCCTTCTTTTCCTATTTTCTTTTTGAGATGTGGTATTGCTTAACCTAGGCTGGCCTCAAACTCACTCTGTGTCAAACTCCTGGTCCTCCTGTCTCCACTTCCCAAGAGCTAGAATTACAGATCTGTAGTGACAGAGCGGGCTTATAAGGAGCCTTGTCAAGTACACAACCCAACTATTTTGCATGGAGGTAAATTCACCATCTAGAAGGAATTCTTAGTCTTCTTGATTAGAAGATTTTTATTTCTGTTTGTTACCTTTCACTAAAGAATTTGCTCAAATATTACTCAAAGTCCCTATAGTCTGCTGATGTAGTGTAGAACCTAAGGTTTATTATTATTATTATTATTAAAAATGAAAAATAAATCCCCATAGCGTGTGTTGTTCTAATTGTCTGAGTCCATGTCGTGGTGGCTGAGACTAAACTGCATCACATGACCATGTCACATGTCTCACACAGGACCTGCCCAGGGCTGCAGCATCAGTTTCTCGTCATCTAACACTTCCTTCATTACCAGATTTCTAGTCAGGTCTACTTACTCTTGGTGTCTGTGTGTCCTCGCAGAACTGTCTTCTTTGGGTAGGACAGAGACGCAGAGGCTTTTTGTTTGTTTCTGCTTTTGTTTTGTGAACTAAAAGCTCTTCATCAAGACTGTCAGTGAAATTCTTGCTTATTTGGACATGGGAGAAAGACAAGGGTAAGGAAAGAAGACCCAGAATAATGCAAAATGGAGAGAAAAGTCTTTAGTTTTCTTTTGCCTTTAGAGAAAAGCAAATGAGTGTCATGGCTTTGAAAACTCAAGGATTAGTAGTACTTTCTGGAGAAAGGATGGGTCTGTGAGAGGGACTGGGGGAGGTGATTTCTTCCAGTGTTTGTACCAGGACACACTCAGTACTGGTTCTGAGACTGTCATCAGCTCAGTACCCTTTCACCAGGACAAACCTTTGGCTTGCTCAAAAAAAAGAATTTAAGACCCAGAGTGGAGCGAAGGCTTGGACTATTCATGTTGACAGGTTACAGGCTCACCAGGTTTTTCATGTGTTCTGTATGTGAGGGAAGGGTCTACCATGTGTTTCACAGACTTGGGGTCAGAGCTCTCCTGTAGTGATAAAGACACGGTTACTGACAGAGGACAAACTCCATAGGAACAGCTTTAAGAAACTGAGTAATATTTAATCCTGTTTGGACAATTGTTTGCTAAGCCTAAACGATGGGTTTAACAGCAAGCTAGGCATAAGAGGACCACAGAAGTGAGAAGACCACGCCTTCCTTAGACCAGAGCCTCAGTCTAACTCACAGCTCTCATCCACTGTGTTAAACATGCTTCCAAGCAGATGGATGTGAAGGGAGCAGAAAGGGGATAAAATCACAGAATTTCTTCTGAGCTCACAGTGTTCTCAAAGATCCAAGAAGGTGTTAGCTTTCAAACTCCAAAGCTTCTGTGGATTCATGGAAACAAAACCTCAGGTCATCTGAGAAATCCTCCAGATGATTTTTTTAAGTGGGTAATACAAAGTAAAGCTGTCTGATTCTGTCCCCAGGCCCTGGATTCCTTAGGATCTCCCAAGGGACAGTCATTCTTTGACGTGGGAGTCCCCTTTGTGTGCTGTGATAACCATTAATGAATAGAAAAGCTGCTTTGGACCTATAGCATGGCAGAACTTAGGTAGGCAGGGTAAGTTGGGCTGAATTCTGGGAAAAAGAAGGGCAGAGTCGGAGAGAAGCCATGGAGTCGCTGGAAACAAACACTGGGAATTTTACCCGGTAAGCCACAGCCATGTGGCAATACACAGATTAATAGAAATGGGAATATGTAAGAGTTAGCCAATAAGAAGCTAGAGCTAATGGGCCGCAGATTGATTTAATTAATATAGCTTCAGTGTGACTATTTTGGGTCTAAGTTAGCCCGTTTGGAGCACACATGGTAGTAGCTTATCTGGAGTATGGCTAATGTTAGGACTGTGGCATTTAGGCCAGTAGTATTTGTTATCAGTCTGACCTCTGGACCATAGAAAGGAGTTGGAGGTTGCATTCTAGCATGTGTCCAATGAACAACACCCCATGCTTGTGTAATGAACTCTCAGACGAACAACAACAATGAATAAATTTTGGACACTCAAACTCAGTTGACTTTCTCTGGTTAAAGATATGTCTATGTGCTAAGAGAGTAATTTCCCTCATTGCATGAACACAACCAAAGAACCTTGACTCATAGGCAGGGCCCCACCCCCAGATCTTCCCTTTGACTCGTTCTTCCTGTACTCTTCTGCAATAATAAAATTCTCCACCAAGGCTTTTCTGAGTCCTTCACGTCATTCTTGCATACTATTGAGCCTGGGGACCCCTCATCCATGTTGTGGTGTGTGTCTTCAGCAGATCAAAATGGAAGACTGTCACACCATCACAGTCCTATTGCTGGTACGTGAGTTTGATAAACACATTGTAGAAGGACGTTTTCTGATATTTCATTTGTTTAATTGATTTTTTTTTTTTTTTGCAATAGGGTTTCACTCTGTAGACCGGACTAGCTTCGAACTCAGAGATTCACCTGCCTCTGCCTTAAGTATTGGGATTAAAGGTATGTGCCACCACTACCCAACTCTGATTTGTTTCTTTAATGAAATTCAAATAAGTGAAGACTGAGTCTCTCTGCTGTTTCCTTGAACCACAGGGCAGCAGAGGAAAAACTTTCTTTTGCCTTTTCATTTTACTGGAGCTAAGCACAAGGGCTCACTTGCTCACTCCCTCTGTGAAGGACCCAGGTTAGGACTGTTTCTCTGGTTCTCTTGAATGGGTTTCAGACCTGATTGTACAGCTAGGAACGAACTATGAACCCTCTTGGTCATTTTGAGAAACTATTGATTGCTCACCCTCAGTTGCTACTGTTGTTTTCTTTCCTTGCTCTAATTTTTATCTGTTCTGGGCAATACTATAAAGGTTCTGTGATGATCCTGGGACTATTCTGTGAAGCTAAATTTCAACATGACTGAGAAGTATACCGTATATTCATAGGTAGAAGTAACAGTCAGCTTTGGGAGGCAATTTAGGGTTTCATTCAAACTAACCCTTCAAGACAACTCCAGAAATGGAGACGTTCATGAAAGGACAGGATGTCCTCTTGGTGTCTGATCCCAAAGACCATTCATGGTCTCATGCAGGAGCTGCCTAGTGCCTCCCTCCTCTGCAGCTTCCGATGGGTAATTTGCTCATATTTTTCTGATTAGCCTTAAAAGAAGACAGAGGAAAACAAAATATCAGGGGATCCCTTTGTTTTTTTTCTTGGGGAAGACAATTAAGGTAAATAACACGTTCACGTCTGCAGAGGAAACTTTGTCAGAAAGCCTTGCAGCCATTTTCCAGTGTTTTGTCTGCCTCTCCCGGGCTTGATGTTTGCTCTCCCTGACTTTCATTTCCTGAGCTATTCACTGAAACCTTTGAGAAACAGGGCAGCCAACCGCAAGATCGCTTGGACTCAGGTCAACCAAGACACATCTCCTTTTCACGTTTATTTCATTTTGTTTTAAGATCACAGAAGAGCAGAGCATTCTTACGTGTGAAGTAACAGAAGAAAGAACCAGAATTTAAATACATTTGAAAAGAAAAAAAAGGCTTGTTTTTAATTTTATTTTTTTTTTACACACATTGCGCTTTTTACTTTCCTTCACAGAGCTAGTAGTCAGGGAAAAAAATATCCACCAAATAAACAAAAATAAAATAACCTGAGCAACAAAATAACTGAACCAAAATAAATGGCCATGTGTTGGTATCATCAAGGGACGATCAGTTCATGTCTACAGGGCTGGAAAAAGGAATATATTTTATATATATATTTATATGTATATAACACTGTTAATGAGGAGACTTCTAACCAAGAACAGGATTTATACAACCTTTAAGAGAGCAATGGAAAGGGAGGGGCTGAAGTAAGGCTGGGGAGAAGGTGAAGGCCTCCATCCCTCCCCTTCTTATTTCATCCCGTTAGCCTCCCCCCTCCCAGCAAATATTAGGGAGCAGAACTTGGCCAAAGTTCACCAGGATGAACCATGTTCATTCTCTGGTGAAGAGCAAAGACTGAGGTGAGTGGGTTCAAAGAGGCTCCTGACGAAGGGCGAGGGCAGCCGCTGCACGCCAGGAGGCTAGCTCCGTGGGTTTTCTTCGTTTGCAAGAAGCAGATTTTTTTTTCCTGTGCCTAGATTTACCCAGAAAGGGTTTGTATTGGGAAGCAGGGTGGACTTGCAAGCACCATCCGAAAAGCTGTGCCTTGGGAACAGCATGGAATCGGGGAGGTGTTGGGTGGGCGGGTCTCTCTCCCGCTTACGGAGCGTCCTGAGACGAGGAAGCCCACTGAACATCCTCGTCTAAAGTGAGACTAATGCTGGAAGTGATGAGTAAACTCTGCTCTTCAGTGTCCAGGAGACCTCTCTTCCTTGTGTTCTTAGGGGAGGTTCGTGAAAAGGTGACTGGACAGTTGCTAGGCTGAATGTTGAAGACAGAGTGGGACGAACAAGTGGACCTACACCGAATCTGCCCAGGACTTGGTCCAACGGAACAAATCCCTTGTTTACTGCTCCAAGCAACTCTTCTTATTCATCCTCCCTTTCTGGAAACTTAGTTATCCCATTTGGTCTTCGCTTTTCCAGCTCAAACTCCCTTCTGCCGTGCCTCCCAATGGGCTTTTGTCCTATTTTCCACTTATCTGCTATCAATCAGAACTGTTAAAAAAATGAGGCCTCTAAGACCACTTGCTTGATGTCACAGCCTATGAGTCAACCCCTTCCTTGCCTGTTTCTCACAAAACAGCCTTTTGAAATTGCTTGGGACCAGCTGAGAGTTTCCCGAGACACACATTTACTATAAGGATGAGAGAAATGTTTGGCCCAGGATGAGAGAAGGCCGATGTTTCCTCTCACAAGTACAACTTCCTCATGTGTTACGTACATAATGCCCAATCTGGCCATTTTCCTTCCTGTGAAAGGTTATTAGGCTGAAGTTCAACAATCTCATTTCCCAAGATCATGAACAAGGAAGCCACCTCAGCTATTTCGGTGCCTTCACTTGGAAATGAAAATGTCCTTCCTCTGCATCTCTAAGAAAGTTTGCTCAGAAGAGAACTATGCAATCAGTCCAGAGACTGTGTTCTAGAAGGTGCTATGTTGTGGAGGACAGTTTTGAGAGAAAACCCGAGACCAACAAATGGTTCTTCTTGGGTCCTCTCTGGGTGGCAGCACTCAATGAAATTTCAATTCATAGTTAGAATCAGAGTTTAGAGGTGGGGGAGGCTAGGAACTGCCATCTAAGTTCTTTACCTTTGGAGTGAGAAAGCTAAAAACTCAAGAATGTAAGATAACTTGTCAACATCAACATCACACGACTTTTTGTGTGGCAAGACCCAGAGAACAACCCAATTTTTCCTGACTCCAAACCTGATTCCTCTTTCACTTTACAGAGGCCTTAGGTGGACTAAAGTAAGACTCTCACCAAGGTGACCCAAATTTCCTTTTAGAATTGTCTTGTTGGACATCCCTATACTCGCTTTGAAGATTCTCTCAGTTCTGATTAGAGAAATGGTCTACAGGACACTGTGTTAAATCTGCAGGCACTTCAGAAGCCTGAGGTAAAACCTATGAGTGACTCTCCCTATTCAAACGACCCTGTGCCTTCTTTGTAACCCATAGGCATGTAGATACATGAGGGTACCAGAAAATATATATATTAAAAAAAAGCAGGGTGCTTTGGCAAGATGTTTCTCAAGAATATAGCGTATTTCTTGCATCACATAATTTATTCAAATTGGGATGTCAAAAACGTTTTATGAGTGTGGGTTAAGTGTAAAGCAGACAAAAAATGGGGGATGTGTGATAAATTGTTCTTGTAATTATTGGTGAATCTGGTGGAGCTATTTAGCTAAAGATACAATAAAATATATATTGGTTGACAAGAAACCAATAACCTGGGACACAGGAGCCCTTCACACCCTATTCCTCTTTCTTCCAGTTTGCTTAATGTTTGTTGGGTCAAGCTAAAGAACTAAGGAGAATCATTTGTGCTTGGCTGGATTTGCCTCTCAGTGTTCTGGGTGTCTACTTCCTTTGGTGAAGGCAACCATGTTTGAAACTTCAGTTTTTCTACTTGACGTTTGACCTGTAAAAAGCTTTGGGTTTTCTTCTTGCTATTTGACTTCCTTCTCTTTAAGATTTATAGGTTTAGCTGAACTTGGCCTCCGCATGGAAAATGAAGTTTACATAGTTTATATTATGTATATAAACTAGTGATTTACATTGATTTATACATGATTGGTGCCTAATTTATTAATCAGCACAGTATGCAAATGCGCTGACGAGAAATCAGGATTTGAAAATAAGTTTTCTCCAATATCCATAAACATTTCTCTGACATGAATGCTAAGCTAAACCTAAACCTAATATTAACACCGGCAGACTTGCCAAGAGGAAAGTGATATACATTGCGGGCAAAACCAAATTCTTTCTTGAGGTTTAGTTGGTGAACGTTGGGACAGCATAGCTAAATGCAAACGAGAATGGTTTACTCTTCCTCCCACTGGTATGCACGCAAATGTGAGCTTCATTTTGCCTCTAGTGAGCTATTTACAGATATGATGTCAACCATAATGGTGGATTTACGTCACTTGGGCATACTAAAGCTCTGGAGGAGAAACATTGTAAGTTACTTAAGCCAGAAAGAGGCTTCCTCAAGTGGGTTTGTGTTTCTTAACTTGGGATCTATCTCACCATTTTTTTATGGTATGTTTATTTGTCTTCAGAATTTTAATATCTTTTTTGCGTCAGATGTATCATTGCACTTATATCGTTATAAAAACTGGCAGTTTGCAGGGGAAACCAGGACTAAATCCCAGCTGAGTATTTATTAAGAAGGAAGAAAAACATGATGACATAGTTAATCCTAAAGCATTTGGTCTCATAGGCAAATTTCTTTTAAACAAATAGTAACAAGGTTGGCAAAAGGGGACCTGTGTCTTTCAAATGAAGCATAGCTCTTTTTTTTTTAATAAACCAAATTCTCTCTTCCTTTTAAGTTTAAAGCATTGTTCTAATTTTTTCTTATAATACATACATGATTGTAAATATATCATTTGTAAAGATAAGATTTAAAACAATACATACACATATATATTATTATTTTGCACAAAAAATCCAAAGCCTATAAGGAACAAAATGAAAAATTTAGGGAGACTAGCCAGTAGAATCTGTCACACCGTAGTCAACACGAAGAGGACCCTGTGACTGTGGGCTGAGAAATAAAAACTCAAAGCAGTTTCATGCTGAGACATTTAGTTTCTGCAAGCAGTGGAGGTAAAGTCCATCTCTGGAGGAGAAACACGCCTTTGTTTCTGTCCTCCAAGAACGTGACAATCACGAGTTTTGTTACAAGGTCTCTTTGAATAACCCCAGTTTCCTATAGAGTTAAAGGGGAAAAATGTCCATGGTAAGGGGACAAAATATCTGTCTTGGAAGAGAAGACAAGAGCCAAGCGGAAAGTCCTTCCCATAAGCGGCCGTTCTTTTTGGACAAGTCTATTTTGCAAGAACATTGTTCCTTCCACTAGGCAAAGAGGTTTTGATCAACAACTATGCAGAGAATAAATAATTCTGCGGTTGTTGAGCTCTAGGATAATTTTCCTTTGTTGTGGTGTGCCCTGGGTCAAGGTCATTTCTGCTTTTTAAACTGAAATATGAGGTGAAGGACTTTGTTTTGTGGATAATGCAAGTTCACTTTTCATACAAAGCATATGGAACACATGAGTGGTCCCAATTAATGGATGAATTCCACTCCTTGATACTCATTCCCAATTGATTGTTTCTTCAGCAATTTGAGTGCAGACAAGTGAGATGATTGGAGAGATTTATAGCAATGTGATTACTCTACTGCTGAATGTATGGCATCTTGGTGTAGGCCCTCTGACCCTATAGTGATTCTAATCTTGCTTCAAAGAATATTTTCCTCAGTTCTCCATATGACTTAGCAATATTCTCAAACCTATATGGTGGTATATGAGACCCAGGTTTTTTCTACAGTAAGGAGAAATGTTTAAAACTCTCAGATCCTGCTGGAGATATGAGTAAACATCATATTTAAAAAGTATCTTTAGCTGTTTCCTCTATGGTCTTTTATAATAAAACAAAAAAAATGGTATAGATATGATCAGGGATTCTTTCCAAAGGAGAGGCTTCTGCCACAAAACCAGGAGTTTGTCCTTTTAAGATGATGGGGACACTGAAGACCAGGTGTCTGGTTAAAGCCTGTGAGACATTACAGCTATCTATTTCTGAAACTAATCCTAAACAATGCTGAATTAACTCCTTCCTTCCTTCTATCTAGACTTGCATGCACACCTCTAAGATTTTACCTGAGGACGTGGATGCCTCCTAAACGTGGGAAACATGTATCCTTCAGTTCTTCTACAAAGGGGACCAGACTGCTAGAGCCATCCTTGATTGCCACTATGTCATATTGGAATATGACACATCTTCTCTGTGTTGTAATAGCTAAGTTCTTAGATAAGAATTAATATCCTACCTCTTGATCATCCATAAATCCCCTTACCCATCCTAAGCCCTGTCTGCCTTCTGCCGCATGTCACACTGCCAATCCATGAAGAGAGGAGGTGACAGGTTTATAAAGTAAATGATGCAATTCCTTAGAAGAAATATAAAATACTGCTCAAATTCCTTTCATTCTTCCTTCATCCCTCCCTCCTTCCTTCTCTTTCTTTTTTTCTTTCTTCCTTCTTTCCTTCTCTTCATCTTGTAACAACGTGACAGCCATTTCAAAGGCTAGAAAACTTGATGAGCTACTATTTGTCTCTGTGGGATAACACATTATGGCCTCGACAGCAATCCTCCATCCTTTCCTAAAGTCAATTACTTTGGATGTCTCTATTGTCAAAAGGAACGGAGTGGATGGTTTCCTATCAAAGATGCCCACGTCCAGAGGCAGCCTTTCCTGGAAGACTTCCCCTCGGAAAACAGTCTTGGGAATGTGCTGAGCTTTGGGATGCTCCACACAACTTCTGCCTGAATTCATCACAGGTTGCTCAGACATGATGGTTAAGCAATTAGCTCAGGTTTCATTGTTAGTGTCACAGTGACGTTCACAGATGTAAGTCTAAACAGAGTAGAGAAGGTGAAAGCAATCTGCATCCTAGTGGCCTGGCTGTCAAGCACGAAATAGCCCTCATCGGCAATGAATGGTGCTGTACACATCATCAGTGGAGCGGGAACCTAATAAAGCTTTAGTCTAGAACTCAAGGATGATGGGCTGCAAGGGAGAACAAAGTCTGGAATTCCTATTTTGTGATGGCCAGTACTTTGCTTTAGAGGTTTGGCGGCCTCTGCAGAAGGGACTTGGGCATCCATCTACTTTCCAAGTCTCCCTTTCAATCTTTCATCTGAAAGAGTCAGCAATCTCTGCTTCGGGGAATTATGGGGCAGGTGCTGTTATCTGAAGGTTACTGAGAGACTAAGCAGGCCTGCGTAGGATCTCCATGGCTTCCTCTTTCCCTTGTTTCTGGAGACCTGCTCAAGGTATGTCACTCATCTCTTCAGTGGGCTCAGCCTAGATAAAGCTAGGAAATGCGTGAATCCCCCAGGCTTGTAAAATAATAGTGAAATCAGAAACTATCTTCTCCTAGGTCACGTCATCCAGGCCACGGATCTGTTCCCAGTCTGCTCACCCCATTGATAGTAGGCACTTTCATTTACAGTGATATTCTGAGTGACTCCCGACTGGGTTTTGAAAATGGGACTAGGAGGGGTATGGGGTCCTGCCCACAGAAGGAGCACAGCTTGGTTTGAATGTGCACTGATGTCATGTGACAACCATGAAGCGGGGGAGGGATTCTGCTCCTTACCTCCCACCCAGCCACCTCCCCCCAGCAACTTGTTACAGCCGCATCTCACAATTACAATGCAGGGCAGTATCTACAGCACAATGAGTCTATGTACACATGAACCATTCCCTTGGCATGCTTTAGAGAGAGACACATACACGCTCACACACATGTACACCTACGTGAGAGCGAAGAGACTTGAGCACACACGCGCACAGTGGAGAAAATGAAAATGGCGCTTCCTAGCATTTGCGGCCTGATTGGGTTGCTGGGGCAGAGAGGGGGTGGGTAGAGAAAAAAGGGATATTTGGAATGGGTGTGGTGGAGGATAGAACACACTGGAGGGAAAGGGGATGTTGTCAAAAGTTAGAGAGATGGTAGAGGCAGGGGAGCCTGAGAAAGGCTCTACACAGGTTTCCTTTCATAGTCCAAAATGGCTACACATCAGCTCAAACGAAAAACAGAAAAAAATATGGAAATATAAACACCAAAGGCAAGACCTTCTTTTTTCCCCACAGATGAAAATGGATGAAGGAAGGATAAAATGTGTGGGGAGTCAATATCCATCTGGTACTTCTGGAATAGTCTCATTTGTACAACGTCAGACATTTTCAGCATGGCGGAACCTTAACACAGCAATCATTTGCTTAGAAGATAGACACATATTCTGGTAGAGGTTTTCCCACCCTAAATTATACTCAAATTTTATTGATGGATCTTAAAGTTGCTTTTAGTGTTGTATTTTCTTCGTTTTCATATCCCCCTCCATTTATAAACACACAAACTTGTGAAATAATAGTCTCCCCCCCATTTTGCACTCTCTCTCTCTGTGTATCTGTGTGATGCACTTTTGTGTGTTTTTGTAATTATTTTTAAATTTTTATTCTATTAACATTTGCTGAGAAGGCAGAGCAGGGATGCTGCCAGCAGCCACAGTGGTACGGCCAGACTGATGGATCCGTTGATTCCTCTCACCGACCCGGGTCCTGCAGAGCAAAAGAGAGAGAAAGAGGATAAGCACCTTCTGCCGGCTCCACTTGACAGCTGACTAAAGCAGGCATCAGAGGCAAGGCGTGGCCAGGTACTGATGTCTAGCTGTCCGTGCTCACGGTGGCTCCCACCTTCTAATTCCCACCCTGTCTGGGGGTGCAAGGCTGTGAAGGTGGCTAGTTTATTTTGAATACGAAGCGACTCCTGCTTGAGAAGCTGCTAATGTGGCTGCCAGGACTCTGTTGAGCCACCTTCCTCTCCCACAGTCTCCACACAATTACTGTTGAGCTGATACTGATTAACTGCAAACAGTGGTGTGGCTCCTCCCGAAGCCCAATGCAGGCCCTCCCTGAAGACTCGTCATAGCAGCTCCCTCAGTGACTGATGGGGAGATCAGTCATTGGTCCACGACTTCTTTTTCACAGGGAAGAGGCAGGATTGTGTATTCTTTTACACGGGGCAACTCTTACAAAGTCGTGTTTAAGCATGGATGGTACCTTCGCAAGATAAAAAGCAAGCCAACAAACGAAACACCCGAGTCCTATGAAGAAGCAGAGCTCATCCTGCCCAAAGCTATGACTTCAGAAATTGAGAACAAAAGCAAGGATAAGAAAGCCAACCAAGCTGACTCAGCAGCAGGTTCAAACCTGGGGCAGCTGAGAGTAGACCTGACCTGGGACCGATCCTGGGGTGTCCTGCTGGGTCACTCATGTGACCAATGGGAAGTGGATGTGGGTGTGGGTCTGAGGGAATAGTGGAATGAGAGGAGAGGAATAAAGATCGTGTGGGGTGATGCGAGTACTGCTGAGGCCGAGGCTGTAAGTCTGACTTACGGCTCATCATGTGCACTTCTGCTTCTGTTTCCCCCTTCTGTGTGACTCTGGTCATATTTCATTGAAAGGAAAATTTTAAATGAAGAACATTTTTTTTTCCTCACTGAAGAGACTTTGATTTTAAGGCTATATACTTAGATGATGAGACTGAACATAGAAAATGACATGACTGTAATTATGGGCCACTTTGAAATCTTATGGGCACATAGGCAGAGTCTGCGTGAAGGGCGTGCCTGGGTGTGTAAAAGTGATGCTGTGCCTCTACAACAGGAAGGTCTGCTAGTGAATGACTCTTCACCAAGATGGTTAAAATGGATCAGATTTTAGGGCGGGTAACAGGGAAAAATACTGAATTCAAGAAGGGACTCCTAACGTATGTTCTACGTTAAAGAACAAAAACAATGATAAAAATAAAACAAAATAAATACAGAGCTTTGCAATACCACCATGTCTTGTGATGCATGTCTTGTGATGCATGTATTGTGATGCATGTCTTGTGATGCATGTATTGTGATGCATGTCTTGCAAATAAAACTATAATTATGAATGCACAGTGGTGTGCTTACTATAACAAAAAACCCCTGTTTTCCAGTGAGATATCAAAGGAACAGAGATATCACATCCACAGTACACATGTACACAGCTTATTGGGAGAAAGACTGAATATATAACCTTGTTGTCTAACTCAAGGGTCTCTGTTGCCACCACATGGCAGATTTCAACAGGCAAGAACAGCCGTGTGTGTCTTGGTCAAACCTTTGGTGAATGAAATTCAGACTGGTTAAAACAATGGTTAGTTCAGACAAAAACTACAAGAAGATGTAGACAGTATCAGAGAGAGAGAGAGAGAGAGAGAGAGAGAGAGAGAGAGAGAGAGAGAATGAAGAATGATAAGATATTCTGGCTATAGCTTTACAGAATATTGCTTAATATGAAAATAGGAACATATGCAAACTTCGAGGCTTTCAATTATGCAAAATGAATTTTGTCTGGTATAAAGCCATGGGAACAGAATTAAGAAAGTTAAATATCCATCATCTCTAGTCAAACAACTCATTCTTGTGATTTCCTGAATGTCTATGCTATATATTAATAACAGACACTCTGACCACCTTCAGGTTCAGTCTCATAAAATTGAGGTTTGAAGCACCTGAGTGATTGTCACCAGCCTCTGGTGTCCAAGTATTCTGAGACTTCATACAGTGTCTGTTCTGACCTCCTCCTGTCCTCCGCCAAGCTTCCTAGATGCTTGGGACTGTCAAACTCCCAGGGCTCCTCTCTCAGTAGTGAGTTTTCCTCCTGTATCTTTTTAGTGGCTGTCTCTATATTAGGCGTTTGAGTTTCCTGGCACGTGTGTCTATTAATGTACCAGCAAGGTTTCCAGAATAGAGAAAAGCTATACAAAAATTAAGGTCTTATATGCCAAAATGACATTTGTTTTGAAATGGATGAGAGAGAGAGAGAGAGAGAGAGAGAGAGAGAGAGAGAGAGAGAATAATTAGCTTTTTTCTGTAGTCTCATTTTTAGTGCCAGGATGGGCTACATTGTCTTCCTGACATCTGAGAAGTGAGTAATATCTAATGACAGCTAAGAAAACTGGTCTTATCATTTTACTCAAGAGGTAGGAAATATTTAAGACAGTAAATGTTCTATTATCTAAAAGCATAATATACTCCTAGCAAGCTAGATAAACATGCTAAAGTCAACATTCTTCTTAAAGCATTTGCATGCCTGGCTGTGGGTTATCTATGGTCCGCCCATCCATACACACACATGGGCAAGCTTATATGCTGTATAGATACTGTTTGTACCTGTATGATACATATATATATATATTATTGGTCTTTTGAAGTGCATAATACAAAACTAACTTTTATTTTTGTATGCTGTTCTACTGCAATAAAAAGTTATGCTATGAATGCCAATAATTTTTAATTGTATCCTTGATAGTCTTATTACACATCTGAAATGCATTATGTACATCTGGTAAAGATACTTTTGTCTTTATCAATTATCATTTATTAAGTTCTCTCATGAAGATATTTAATGCACATATGTGGCTTCTTCTTGTCATAATCGATTTTTGAGAGTAAATAAGCAGAATTGGAGAAGACTGTAGATGGTTAATAGTTGAAGAATTATCGAAGTTAGGTAAGCAGTTATAGATGCATGTGACTACATAGGAAATACTCCAGTGTGTGTCTAATTCAGGAAAGAACAATCCACAAAATCATTAATTATGTTTTAGTTCGTAGTTACAAAATTCTGCTTATTTGTTGATATGCAAATGGTAAATTTTAGTTCCTGTACCAGATGGCTAGGCTCAGCAACTGCTTTCATATACTGACAGATACAACGAAGGCACAAGTTTGAAAACATAACTTCGTCTTACGAATAGATAGGCAAATAGGAATCCAAAAGCTTGTTCCGAGGCTTTCTCATCACAGAGCACAATCACATTGTGATATTTAACCATATTCTATATGGTCTGTGTGGGACTTGAGAAATACTCAGTATGTATTCACAAGGCAAAGATTTTGCTTTCAGAAATAAATGAAATACCAACCCAAATCAAACATGTTTATGGATTAGATCATGCTTAAAGAAAACCCAAACCGTTTTATCTACTTATTGTGTGTTTATGTATATGTTGGTGCATGCCTGCATGCCATGGATATCTGTGGCCAGAGGACGACTAAGGGCAGCCATTCTCCCCTTCCCTGATGTGGGTCCCAGGGACCAAACTCGGGTCCTTGGGCTCGGCACCAGGTGACTTTACCCACTGAACCACTGAGCCTGTATGACTTGGTGCTTTTAGATTTACTAGTAAGAGACAAACTTCAGCTGCAGCAAAATAATAAATCACGAGTGTCAGTCTCTAGGTCGCCATGCAGGGGATGAGAGACTATACCAAGATAAATACGAGAGTTCACCTTGTGACCATGTTTATAAAAGGACAAAACCTGTAATTTACTGCGAAGCTTATTAAATATCCTAAAATGGAAGAATATGATGAAGTTTTGGGCAAGAGTCTCTGCTGCTGATCCGATGTAGGATTCTGAACTCATTGCTTTGCCTTTCTTCAAATGTCTGTTTTGGGAAGGCTTTATAATTTGCAGACCAATGGGGCTGCCTTTTGTTTTTTTCCACTGTGACTGGATTTATTCCAACTCATCTTTAACCATGTCAGCAGCCATCCCTGGTTGTCCATTACAGCCAGTAAGAAATCGGAGTTAGTTTGTGTTTCAATTATACAAAAAGAGAAAAAAATTGCCTTGGAATTGTCAAAGGCTGATGAAACGACTAAAAATAAAGCAAAAATCTAAGCAATTTATGAAATAAAGATGCTGAATAGCGGAGGTCAACAGTCTGTAGAATCTCCAAAACGGAAGTTCTGTGTGATCTACAGGACCTGGGCAAAGCACTTCACTGGCCTGGGAAGCCATGTTGAAGGCCAGTGCGATAACATTGACTCTGGCGCCACCTTCTGTCCATTTCCTGCTAGTTCAGCTTCCTCGGCGTGATTGAATTGGGGACTGAAGCCTGTAATCCCCAGGACTGGAGCAGATGAGAGGAAAGAGACCAGTGCTGGTCTTGAATACTATACCTTTAACACAGACTCTTCCTGAGTTTACTTTCTGTCTTTACCCTCTAGAAAGTGAGATTTTTGTCAGCCGGAGCTGTCCTATAAGACAGCTAGGAGCAACAAATCTTTCTCCTCAAAGCAGGTGTGTTGGAGCATGGCTCTAGCCTAGTACTTGGGAAGTGGAGGCAGGAGGGCAAGGGGATTATGAGGTAATACAAGTTTAAGGGCAGCCTGGAATGCATTAGACCCTGACACACACACACACACAAAGAAAGACCAAAGTAAAGCAAACCCCAAACCGGAAAACAATATGAAGATCTTTCTGCAGACCAATAATGAAAAATTTAGTTACTACTTGCAGTCACACTGGTATCTTATTATAACGATATTTGAATAAAAAACTATACCTTATTCATCATCCAAATCAAAGTCCTGAGGTTCCATGTGCTTCGCTGGGCAAATTAATGGTCATTTTGTGATTATATTGGGAAAAGATAAAGGGCTAAAGAAGCCATTAATATTTTACGCCTTCTGGCCTCAATGAGTCCTGTCTGAAGAGTATATTTTTGGCTACTTTCTATCTGCTAGATAGTGATGACCTGCAAAGACAAGCCACCAACAGGGTACTGGTCTATGCAACCACAAAACCTCTCTGGCTTTTGGATGCCGGAGGACATAAATCTCCAAAGAATATGTTTTTACTATTGGTGATGATCAGGGTTACCTCGTTCCTTTTGTGACTCAGAAAGAATGTGGTTTTCCTAATGACCACTGACAGTCAATGGATTACCCCAGGATTTGAAGGAATGTGCCATCGTGACTCATCACTGCTTCCTTTGCATTTGGCTGGAGCTAGACAACGTAAGGTTGATCTAGTGGGGGTAGAAGGTGGACAAGTCGGAAGTCGTTGTTGCTTACATTTTTAGGGTTCATTGAATAAAGCGTTGACAGGTCTGCCCTGTCTTTGTAAAGATAGTAAGTACGTGGCTTATGTGCCACATGGCTGGCAGGAGTACCCAGAAACCATGACGTAGCATCTTTTAGGGAACCGACAGCCCAGTAAGACTTTAAGGAATGGAGAGAGACAGAACTGAGGCAGGGTGGAAATGTGAACGGCTCCCATGCCTCATCTCACGAGTTGCCACTTAGCTGTTAGGTCTGAAGCAGGTGTGGCAGCCCAGCCATACTTTTGCTTGAACAGTCAGCAAGCAAGTGTAAAATCCTGAGAGTACTGCCACTCGGTAAGGATCATTTACAAAATGGGGTCTGTGGGATTAGCCATGGACACTTAAGATGCCGCACATAGCAGATGGGGGAGGGGACAGGAGGGGTCAGAGCAACTTGGTTTATCCCAGGGATTTAAATTTAGTCACTGTCAAAAGCACTCCAGGGGCCATGGGTCAGATGGACAGTTCTTTGTTAATAAGAAAGTTCACAGTCTGGGAAAAACGCTGTCAACTGCGTTATTAAAATTTCTCATCACAAATTACAACACTAAAGCAAACTCAAGTGTATAAGACCATAATATATTGCTGTGGAATCTTAACTAATGTCTAGAAGGTGTTTATAAATCAGAGCCATACCTTTTTGCTTGAAGTGCACGGTGGTACCAATTTCTAAAAAAGAAACATTTAGCAAAACAAAAACAAATAAAAATCTTTATCAACTGAGAATCAACAATGGGGGTAGTTTGTCACCCTTCACGGAGGGAGACTGAGAGTAAGGCAGGCTGGGGACAGGACAGCAGCAGGAAAGGCTGACAGAGACTGAGGGATAGACAAGTGGAAAGAAACCTTTCTAAGACTAAGTGAGCAATTAAGAGTCACAAAAATGAGTGGCAACTGTGGATATATTCTGTGCATATAGGCAAGTCAAGGACTCCAGCATGGGGTGTGAGTGCAGTCTTGACTGCACTGCATGCATCCGTAGAATGTGTCTGATCCCCGGCCCTACCCTGCCACTTTGCCCCCATGCACATTGATTGGCCCCTCACTCCATATCTAATAGGCAAGTCCACTCCAGCCTCAAGGCCACTCCAACCTCAAGCCTGACAGTTGCTGTGTCTTTGACTAAAGTCATTCTCCTAGACGTCTCTGCTGCTGGCTCAGTTACCCCAATCACATGGCTGTTGAAAAGTCATCAACACAAGGAGGGCTACCCCCACACTTTCCCAAAGCCAGTACCCGTTCCTTTCCTGAGCTCAGTCTGAGCAGCACTCAGCCCCTCCCGGCATGACATCACTCACTTGCTAAAACACGTGCCCTCCGAGGGCATCCACAGGGCATGGCCCACTAGCCCTTGAGTCTAGCTCTCAGTGCAGACCATGAGACATAGAAAGTTTCAGCAAACATCCGTTGCATGTATATAGTAAGTGTCAAGGTTGAACGAGATCAGGTTGGTTAAATATCTGGATTTCTTTTTACGTGTCCTTGTCAAATAATTCAAAAGACTCTTGTACCTTTGGTAGTAACTGTGTATAACTTCTATAGGGTACCCTTTCCTAGTCCAGAAATAACTAAATGATTGATTAGTTATGAAAGCCCACACTGGTTGTCAAATTCAGATTTTTATTTTTTCCTCTGTAACCACCAGGATCCAGACCTGCATCCCTCAGTAACACAAGCTAGCAGAAAATGTAAAATGGTGGATGCTTTCAGCCACAGATAGCTTTTTGCACACACAGCATCTGTCATCTTCTAGTCCTGCTTCTAATTATTCTTAGGTTTTGTGGCCTCGAGGATAAAGACCCAATCCATAGCTTGTTGTCTGTGGCTCTCCTTGCCACCCCTGCCTGTCTAGTCTCATAAATATCCATCACATCACTGGCTCTTCTTCATGTTCCTGGAACCACGCTTCCTCCCCGGGGTACTATGGTGTCTGCAGTAGTGTCTCCATCACCTTTCAGAATGGGATTGTCACTTTCAGAAAGGAGCCTTTCTTGGTCTCTTTGAGGTCACTGGTCTTGTTTTTTCCTTCCACGCTCATCTCGGACTCAATTTCCAAAGTGTCTGATGCTTTGATTAACGCCCGCCACCTCACTCTGAGTGCACAGTGCTCCAAAACCCAAGATCCAGAATCACTGCAACACGAGACAAATAAACATGTGCCCCAAATGCTTCTGCCCCAGATAAACAGGGAGCCCAATCAAGCTCCTAAGGCTCAGCTCTTTGAAACCAGGCCTGCAAAGTCACCGAAGGTTCAGGACAACCTTCGGATCTCCTCTCTTGATTTTTCATCTGTCTACCCAAAGAAGTCATGGAAGTCCCCAAGTGCAATAACATTTCCTGGCATCAGAACCTGGAAACAGCCTAGGTGCCCCTCAATAGAAGAATGGTTAAAAAAGGTGTGGAACATATACACATTAGAGTTTTACTCAGCGGTAAAAAACAATGACATCTTGAATTTTGCATGCAAATGGATGGAAATAGAAAACGCTTTACTGAGTGAGGTAAGCCAGACCCAAAAAGAGGAACACGGTATGTATTCACTCATAAGTGGATTCTAACCATAATTAAAGGTCTTTGAGCCTATTATTCGTGATCCTAGAGAAGCTAAATAAGAAGATGAACCTGATGAAGATTATTTAGCTATCCACCAGGAGGTAGGAAATAGACAAGAGTCCCAGGTAACCTCGGGTGCATGGGGGGGGGTAGGAGGGTTGATGGAAGGGGAGAGGGTTAGAGAGAAGGGAGTAGGGGAGGAATGGGGAAAGCTCGGTGGCCTGGGATGGGGGGGGGAGGAAGGATGAATATGGGATCAGGGAAGAATATATTTCAACTAAGGGAGTCATTTTAGGGTTTACAGGAGACTTGATTATATATGGGATCCCAGGTCCAAGGAGAGATCCCCCAGATTGTTCTCTGGACAGAGGAGAGGGTGCCTGAATCGGCCGTGGCCCATAACCATACTGATGTATATTTTGCTTATCACCATAGATCCTTCATCTGGCGAAGGACGGCGATAAAGTCGGAGACCCACACTGGAGCACCGGACTGAGACCCCCGAGGTCCAAATGAGGAGCAGAAGGAGGAAGAACATGAAAAACGAAATCAGTACTGCGAGGGATGCTATCACCCACTGATACAGGGGAAGGGATCTAATGAGAGTTTACCAAGGCCAGTTGGACTGGGACTGAACGAGGACGTGATCTAACCAGATTCTCGGAATTTGGCCGGATTCTCTGAATGTGGCTGGCCCGAAGTCTTTCTGAAAAGCCATTGACTATGATACTGGGACCTGTTTCCTCTGCATATTCTGGATTTTGGGGATCCAGTCTGTTTGGATACTCACCTTCCTGGACCTGGAGGGAGGGGGGAGGAACTTGAACTTCCCACAGGGCAGGAAACCCTGACTGCCCTAAGGGACGAAGAGGGAGGAGGAGAGGGAGTGGGGGGAGTGGGAGGGTGTTGGGAAGAGGGGCGGAAATGGAAACTTTTATAATTTAATAAAATTTACTTTCAAAAAAAAAAACATTTCCTGGCATCATGAGACAGTTATAAAGAAGGGCATGGTTATCCCAAGCTCGGAAGCTGATGAATGATCGGCTGTGGCTCATCACTAGCAACGCTAATGCCAGCCAACCTGTCCCTAAGTTTGTAGGTGATGTGGTTTCCCTGAGCTGGTCAGTCCCAGAGGGAATCACTCTGAATGTTCTCTTGTGTTGTGATGGTTTGTGCTGTTCAGAGCACACTTCTGAGGATGAGTAGGGACACCAGAGCCTCTCCGACACTTTTATATCTGTAGACAGTTCAATCAACAAAGGCACCATGCTGTACGTTCATACAGAAGCATGGAGTACACCTAGGAGTCAGCTGTGATGCCAATCCCCCAATGGGTTCTAGGCCCTCGAGGGGACCATCTTCAAGGGAGGACTTATGTGTTTTCCTTTTCTTTTCCTCTTTAAATCGGGTCCACAGGTTTTGTGGGAAGAAGTTTAAGCAAGTGTTCGGATGAGAAGGGCAATGACTCTGCTGAAGCTAAGAAATGTTTCTTAGCCATTCAGGGTACCAGCTTACATTTTCTACATGAGTTTAATGAAGTTGGCACGCACTGGTCTATTCCCTGGATTAAATCAGCACTTAGTGTGCTATCCTTGCACCCAGCACACAGTTGAATAAGAGCGGTCATTACCATCTTGTGCTGAAATCCTTCTCGCGATGGTTACCAATGCAGTTTTTGTAGTGAAAGGAAGATATCCTGATCAAAAAGCTGTGGAGGTGTGTGTGTGCTAACAATATGGTGATCAAAACAGGAGGGGACCCTGGCACATGGAACACAAAGAGGTCAGAGCTAAGTAGGCAACACATTCTTTAGGACACAATTGGTAATGTGCTCGCAGGAACCTGTCACTGATAGCAGGCTTGGGTGAGAAGCTGTGTGTTCTGAAAGAGAATGTTGGGGGAACAATTCTCTCCTAGTCTTCAAATGAAGAGGAAGAGTTTCAAGAAATAAATTGAAATACCACCAAATAATTTACTTTATGAAGCAACTATGCAAAACACTTGCATGTGTATGCAATAGTGTTTTAAGTGTTTTTAAAAGACAAATCAAATGTCCAGTTACATTTCAGATACTCCTTCCTATTCAGGCAAGGAGTTGATTTCTTTGTGAAATAGTCAAGGTCTTTAAGCTAACTTCTAGTTTTCTCTGTGAAAATGTAGTAGTAGACTTGTGATTTTTGTGAACTATCTCCTACTCACCCTGTTGGGGAACAGACAGTCTCTTTGTGAGGAAGAAAACTGGGTGATTTTGAGGTTGTTTGAAAACTTGGTTATGTGCTGCCATCTTGTGGTCACACTAGGACATGTTCCTTGGTGCAGTCGGAAGACATTATTTCTGTCCACCAGGTGGCAACAGTGAGAGAAATGACGTGCGGCTTCCCTCCTGTTGGAGCTCCGGTGAAATGTCACTCTTTAAAAGGGGCGTTCCTATTACAGCAGACAAGTTTTTAATCTGGTCCACACCGCCTGGAAATCATTCTTTCCGCTAGTGTTCTTATGTTCTTGACCAGTGCTGCATTGCCAGGGATACGGTACCTGGAAAGATCCTCTGAACACACACTCGTGAGAATACAACCACAGTCTCTGCCTTTAACGTCTTTCGTGAAAATTTCTTCCTACATATTGTTCTTGCTCCAGAATATATGTTAAATAAGCGAGCATAGAGGTGCAGGTTAGAAGTATCAGCAAACACATCTGCCGTAAGAGTACGGACAAAACTCGTGGTGTGGGGATTCTAGTATTGAGAACGTTCTAGACATTCTCAGTGTTGTAAAATGCTGACTTTTTAACCCCTGAGGAGGGGGCAGAAGGAAAAGAATTTAACAGTAAGAAAAGCGAGTGTTTGAAAAATTCTGTTTATGCTGATTATGTTAACGTGCCTTTCGTTTTTGACTTTCAGATGCTTTATAAGCAACTGCATTAGAAAATAACTGCATTCTCAAAAACATTGGAGGGTCTCTCTCTCTGGGCGTGGACAAACATCGTCCTTTCCTTATCCACAAGATGCTATTTCTCAAGCGCCAAGTTAAGTGTGCGGACATGTTTGCTAAACACCTCCACCCCAGTGAACACGTGAGCTAGTGAATGAACTCGCTTAAGACCTCAGGGACCAGACC